ATCTCGAAGTAGTTGCCTCTGTATTTCGTCTTTTCATGCTGCTTGTATATAATACTGACTAAACAAAATTAACTTTCAGCGCTTAATCAAAACTCACGTGACGCTCCCGGCTCCATCGTCGAAGCTGGAATTTATTCGAGCCTCAGTATCGAATTTTCACAGTTGTAACGACCAGAAGCCTCCATTGGCATAGATCGGCTTAACCTACCCTTGGATAAAGGAGTGTGGAGTTACCTGCATGGGATTGAAGTCATATATCTATGCTTAGGTGTGTTTGGCCATCCGTAATCCATTCGCAGCTTGAAACTAACCTGGGGAGCTTTCTTTTTGCCAGTCTAGATGTTTATTCAACCATCCTCCATGCCGACCATCCCCCTCCGGCTTTCCCTTAGAAATGTTCGCCATACTCAAAGGGTCCCCAATTCACCATATGGGCATCCGTTTAGCGCAGTTTATAGAATAGCTCAACCCATTGGACGTCACTTGTCTGGAAGGGCTGGGCGTCCTCACACTCATTGTGTCTCTGCAGGCACCACTCGAGGGTATGCCGCAGAGAGAACCTCTTCTGAGCTATCTTATAACCGCAAACCTCAATACCAGTCCCAAGAGAGACATGTCTCGACGCAAGCGGTCGATAATGGGCCGCTGGCCAGCGAGCCACCCGTGGGTTCCTCGCCGACGGAATCGGTTATATATCCAGAGCCATATTCCAGGTTGACGGAAACATACGCCAGGGAGAATGCGGCTTTGCCATCTTCTGAATCACTTTTAGCCTTACCTACTCTCCTTTCGAAGCCAGAATCCTCACTTCATATGCTCTCACAAATGGGGATTGTTGAGATTGATACAGACGTTGCCAAAATTTCTGATATAGGAGCTGTTATGTGCAAATTAGTTTGTCGCATTACACCTGCGTCAGGTGTGAAGGTCAAAGATCCAATCGAAGTCGCAGGTCTTGGGCAGGATTCGGTGAGTCTTCATTCTTAACATATATAGTCTTTTTACTTTTGGACCACCTTAAAATCGGAATCGTCTAGCCTAATGTATAAATATGCTAAGGATATTTGTTTGCACTTCTAGTACTCAGCAAAAAATGCCGCCTACGTATTTCTCGTGTCCGCACTTCATACCAAGGGTTACCTTAACAAAATTGCACAATCGTTCAAGACCTCACGGGACATGAGAGCGCACCGCTTTGATCTATCAGATGTCTACCATTACACCTCTCGGTTTGCAGCGTTACCTGAGATACACTACACATCCACGCCGGAGCCTGGTTTTACATCATACGCCCAGCATGAAGTTAGAATTGAGTTGCCAGGTCAAAATATCAAGTCTGTTGCTACGGGAGATTTCCTTCCCCAGGTCATCACTGAAGCTTCCCGCTCCTTTATAGCTCAGGTACCACGCCAGGGTATTCCAGGAAATCATGAGCGAATTAAAGACGATTCTACCCTTACAGTGGATGTTGCTCCTAATCTTCTGAATTTTTACCGGTCAAAATGCGGTCAATCTAGCGAGATTGAATCACGCTGTACCCAAGAAAACTTTGGCCCTTGTACGGTTTACTATGGGACCCTTTATATCGATGGTCAACCTGTGTCAAAACCGGTAATGGCTGACTCCGCAAAATCAGCAAAATCTCTTGCAAGGCTCGCAGGAGTCGTTCATCTCATTGGCAAGGATCCGTCTCTCTGGTCAGACTTTGTAAATGAGATGCGAGAAACTTCACCCATTGTTCACTCCGTCTCTATCTCGATGTCTCCTGAAACTCTCTCCGCCATCCAAACCTCACTCGAAAGCATTTACTACCCTAGTCCCCAAGCCCAGGCTAAAACTAAAGAGACCTGTCCGGACAACATTGAGTCACTGTTTCCAAATGTCCTTGCTTCAGCTGTGCGCCAGGCTGAGTCCGCGGATCCACCTTTTCTCCCGTTTAGCAACCGTACTTTAGAGGAGTCGCTCAATGCGAGAAATTCTTTGCCCACAAGGAAGCACGTCAAACAAATCCTTGACACCATTAACGAAAACACTGTTAGCATCATAGTTGGTTCTACAGGGAATGGAAAAACCTCTCAAATTCCCCAGATGGTGCTAGAGCAATCCCCTGGCTCCAATATAATGGTGACCCAGCCTCGCAGGGTTACTACTACGACTATGGCGCGGCGAGTTGCGTTTGAACGTGGTGAAGCGCTTGGGAAATCCGTTGGATATGAAATTCGATGGGATGCTATAAAGCCATCGTCAAACAATGGTATCACCTATCGAACGACCGGGGTCATGTTACTGGATATGTTACGGAGAGGCGATGAGATTTTGGACACTATATCTCACATTTTTGTTGATGAAACACATGAACGTGATACTCCTACGGACCTTCTCCTAGCGCTATTAAGGAGGGAGATCAACCGACGTTCCAATGCATCCATGTCGATTCCAAAGATCATAATCATGACCGCAGATCCCGAAACTGCTGCTCTTGAAACCTATATGGGAACTGTGTCTGAAAATGGAGAACCTAATCCAGCAACCCGCATGGTGATCCCCAGTTCATCTCATCCTGTTCAACGTTATTTCCTTGAAGACATACTGCATTCTTTATTCTCTAACCATTCTGCTGAAGATTTGATGCCCTTACTCTCTGACACTTCAACAAGCCAACATATTGCAGCCGAAAAGGACCTGATCACTCCCAAACACTCGGAAGGTAATGATGAGGCTAAGCTGCCCATTCCCAATGCATTACTGGAGGAGGCTACGTCGAACGCCCCAATCAATGAAAAAGAGCATTTTGTTCCTCTTGGACTGACTGCTGCTACGATTGCTCATATTGTGAAAACCGAAGAGGAGGGTGTTATCCTTGCTCTGTTTCCAGGCCTTGACGTGATAAAGCGACTTGAAATGCTACTTTATGACCAACCCCTTGGAATCGATTTCAGCGATCGAACCAAATTTCAAATTTTCAAATTACACTCCGGTCTGGGCGATATTGATGAAAATGTATTACGTCCGGCGAAGAACGGATGTCGAAAAATAATTCTGTCAACAAATATTGCTGAAAACTCGATAAACATACCAGAGGTCCGATATGTGGTTGATAGCGGAAAGAAACATGATTCGGTCTACGACCCGTCAACTGGCCTGCGGAAGGTCGTTGGTGGCTGGGTTGATAAGCTAGCTATCCATCAAAGGGAGGCATGTGCAAGCCGAACCGGCAACGGGGTTTACTATGCCACATTCACACAGTCGAGATATGATGCATTGACAAGGAGCACCCCTCCTCGGATCTATGTGGACGAAATTGAAACTGAATCTCTCCAGCTAAGAGCCACCTTACCCGACTTACCTCTCCGCGATTTCATGCGTCAGGTGCCAAATCCGCCCTCGCCAGACCGTCTCAACAGTACCACGGCAAACTTGCAGTCAATTGGGGCAATAGATAATAATGATGATATCACCGCGCTTGGTCGTATCCTATCGCTATTACCTGTCCCTCTAAAAGCTGGAAAAATGGTCATGCTCGGAATTCTATTGAGGTGCTTTGAGCCTGCCCTGATACTTGGTGCTGCCACTCATGCCCGTTCCCTTTTCATTCCATCTCGGTCCGAGAGATGGTATAATTCACCGCGTCGAAAGTTTGCTGGAGAAACCAACAGTGACCATATAGCAATCTTGAGAGCCTATCGGAAAATTAACCAAATTTCCAAGAAGCACGGACAGGAAGCTGCTCGGAAATATTGCTTGCAGCAGTCTATGAGCCATGCAACATATTTGGACATGGAGTTATTTATTTCGCGGATAACCCTCACGCTTCGTCATCTCAACCTCATTCCGGCTACAGAGAGTGAGTCTGGGGAGAATATCCTCGACGAAAACTCTGGCGATCACTCGATTCTCAGGGCACTTATCACTGCCACTGTAACCCCGAATATTGCGATCAAGCCCAGTGATAGTGGAGGCCAATGGCACACCAAACGCTTCCCGGCAGCCGTCGTTAGCAATAAAAGCACGAACTCGTTCCAGAAAAGCTGGGCGGGTCGAATGCTAGCGTTTAATGAAGCGTTGAACTTCCATAGTGAGGCTGACGCAATCATGATGGACACGACGTCTGTTCACCCGCTAATGGCCTGCCTTTTTGGTGGAAAGCTTTCCCGTGAGGATAATGCGCTTTTCCTCGATTCCCATTTAGCAGTCAAAGTAAAATCCCCGGATGGCAGTATGGAAAGTGACTCTAGGGCTGCTAGTGATGTTGTTAAGGCAAGGAAATTGATAGACAAGGTATGTCTTCGTGCTCATTCCATTCAGATATTCAGAAGGATCGCATTTCTAACCAAGTTGCTGGTATATAGGCATCCGAGGATTTCTTCAACGATCTCGCCAGCAACAGAAGCTGGGCTGAAGCGGAATCTGATCGTCGACGCCTTGCGACAGAGATCAAAAGCATCATAGATACCCTGCCTGATACCCGCCAATCAGGCCCGCTGATACGAAAAATCCCCTAATTACACACTGCTTATTGCATAGAAATGCTATAAATGTATACATACTCATCTTAGGCTTTGGTTTCCCCCTGTCTGTTCACCATGTTTTTGTATTATCATCAGGGGCCGGAGTTGTGATGGATGTTTGGTTTTTTTTTCAACCACTGAGGATTTAACGTATAATCGGCCGGGAGCAAAATGGAGAGTGTATATATATTCTCAGCGTACTGTACTATAGAATAGAATCGAGGGCTCGAAAATTTTTTGCAGTCGATGAATACTTAGCCTTGGTTGGCCGGTGCATGACTAGGAAGCGGCAGGGGTAGTTTTGTAATGACGTTTCTTCGAGCTTGAAGGCGGCACTTCCTTGCTGTAGCTCGAAAACGCTTGCAACCTCCTACATTCCCGAACGCCTTCATACACCATGACACAATCAAAGGCCCAACCACTTTGAGAACTTCGATATAGCCGAATTGATGACTGCTAGTCCCCATACTAGGCCTCCTGTCCTGTGACAACATGAAGCTGGTTCCTCCCGGCAATTTCTGTTCCAGCTTGATCCGACAGCGACCAGCTTTGCGCACTCCATCCACCATTACTCCGCGATACCTAGCCTCCTACTCTTCCATATTCACGCCAGTGCCTTCACCGTCTTACCTGTCCTCTACCCGACGGCTATCGCAATGGTGCTCTGGAGCCCGCTGGAGAACGTTTCAGAGGAGACCTTCCGGCTATAACTACGGGGAAAACGATGCACATACCCGGGAAAGTTGGAAGCGCAGGCGACACTCGAGAAGCAGCTACGTCCTTCTCGTAGCTACAATCGGCGCTGCGACATTGACGCCAGCAGCTCTGCTTGAGCTGGCAGAGAAGAAGAACCAGGAGGACGAGTCGAGCACTCGAGAGCGTGAGATGCTCCACGCATCAAGGGCAGAAGCACGGAGTATAAGACGTACCGGGAGAGGTATAGAAGACGACAGCGATGGAGGTGATACCGAAAGACAAAGGGCTCGGAATGTCTTATGGCGCATATATGGCTTTCTGGATGAGTACGTTTTCGAGGTGATTGCTACGGGATTTCGATTCGTTCACCTGGTGGTTCTATTTATCCCGGTAATAGCGAGCGTCCCAATAGTTTTCCTTGGAAGGAGGGTGAAAGATCGAGATAACCACAGGAGAGGAGCTCTGCTATGGTATGCCCTTGTCGTGTACACCATGGAGCGTGCCGGGTCGGCATTTATCAAGGTAGAACCACACCCCTTTCACGCAACCGCTGCAGCTCGGATGGCAGGCTAACTATTGTTTCTATTGAAAATGCAGCTCGGGCAATGGGCTGCTTCAAGATCTGACATCTTCCCGCCTGAACTATGTGCTATGATGTCTTCCCTGCATTCACAAGCGCCGGCACATCCACTACATGTTACGAAACGTACGATTAGTCGAGCATTCAATGGCCTACCTTTTGATGAGATATTCGAGGAATTCGACGAAAAACCACTTGGTGTAGGTGCTATTGCCCAAGTGTACAAGGCAAAGCTCCGTCCGGACCTGGCTGGCTCCCTTGATCGTGCGTCTAAACCTACCAATCTCCGCGAGAAGATGAGGAGAAATGTCAATGTCCTGGTGAAAAGCACTCCAGAGAGCGTCCCATCGTCATACATTGCGATCAAGGTTCTCCATCCAAAGGTCGATAGGACCGTGCGACGAGACCTACGAATTATGGGTTTTTTTGCTACCTTAATACACTGGATCCCTACTATGGAATGGTTATCATTACCCGATGAAGTCGAGAAGTTTGGAGAAATGATGAAACTCCAATTGGATTTACGGATTGAAGCAGCAAATCTAGCGTTTTTCCGGGAGAACTTCAAATCAAGAACTACAGCTCGGTTCCCCTATCCATATACTGAATATACCACCCGCGAGGTCCTAGTAGAAGAGTTTGCTCAGGGTATTCCGCTCGCTGCATTTTTAGAGAATGGTGGCGGTGTGTTCCAACATGACATTGCCCAGGAGGGATTGGACGCTTTCCTTCACATGCTGCTCATTGACAACTTTGTCCACTCTGACCTGCACCCTGGTAACATTATGGTACGCTTCTATAAACCAAGCCAGCTGGACCTCTCCCTGAGTGTGCAGAGTCCCCACGGAGCCCTGGTATCAGAGAGTGGGAATACCGCAACAGAATCGGTTCTTTCACGATTGAGGAAACACCGCAAGGATCCAAAAGCTTGGAACGAGACCCTGAAGCAAATTGACGCTGAAGGATACCGACCTCAGCTGATCTTCATTGATACCGGTCTTGTCACAGAGCTCCATGCTGTTAATCGACGTGATTTCCTTGACCTGTTCCGAGCCATTGCTGAATTCGACGGATACAAAGCTGGTTATCTCATGATTGAGAGATCTCGTCAACCTGACACCGTCATTGACGCCGAAATATTTGCGCTCAGGATGCAGCATCTCGTTCTCAGCATTAAGGGAAGAACATTTGCCCTGGGAAATGTGAAACTCGGAGATGTATTGAGTGATGTTTTATATATGGTCCGGAACCACCATGTAAGACTCGAGGGTGACTTTATCAACGTCGTCATCTCCGCTCTTCTCCTGGAGGGCATTGGTAGGAGATTGGACCCAGATTTGGACATATTCAGAAAGTTCGTTTATACCATCCTTTCCCTTCACCTCTTGCTTCTTTTGTTTCATTACAGTCACTAACCAACATTTGAATAGTGCATTGCCAATCCTCCGTCAACTCGGCTCGAAATCTACGCTGCTCAAGTCCGTTCGTGAAGGGGATACATCCATGCTCCGCGTATGGGTTGGGCTAGAAGCACGAAGCTTCCTCAAAGCCAGCATCTCCAGCGTGGAGAAGTGTGTGAAGTACGATCTCCTATCCCCGAACATTTAGCCAACATATACCACTACGTTATTCATATTATCTCCATATATCCTGAGCATAGCTCAGGCATTACTCTTTTTCTAGCTACACGGGACGACACCTGTACATAATATCGGCTACATTTTCTTGCATCTGGCGGAACACTTTGGCTCTTTGCATGTACATAGATAGAGGCATTCCCGAAGTTTGGTGGCGCCATCTTCGAACCATGGTTAAATACGTGAATAAACACATCTCCTTCCATCAACTCTTTATTATCTTCGATAACCCAACTAGATAAATAATCCTTGACGGGGGAAAGAAGATACTGATGCCCATACTCAATGTCCAGCATTGGGCAGCATCGCTCGGGATAAATATGCCGAGAGAGGCGATTGATTCCAGGTACTCTGCCTCCTGCTCCACACACAAACAAGTGATCCCCGTAGATCTCACACAATAGCTGCAGATGGGAAAATTTCCAGCATTCATATCCGCAGGAGTTCACAGTTGCCAGCACAGACCGATACAGCGACTGGAGGGGGATCGAAATGCCATTCCCTAGCCTGCGTCTGTACGGTGACGATGGCGATTCCGAGATATCTGCGTCGACCTGGGGATGAAGGATACCGAACTCCCACCATCGAAGACACGGAGAAGAACCTCTCGCTCTCGTTTGTATTTCCTTCTCAGCCGCCGACCCCTCGATGTCCCACGCCGCCTGTCCTATCGCAGTTCCGTCAACGGCCGCCGCTTGCACATAACCTGCCCAAGATACACGGAGACGGCGATGGGAATGGGACGATAACGCCAGTGCAGCTCCTGGAGAGCCAGCTCCCGTCACTCAGCTGGAGAGAGCGTATTCAGCATCTGACATGGTCGTTTTTCACGCTGACAATGGCCACAGGTGGGCTGGCGAATGTCATCCACTCGATCCCTGTCGAGGCCCGGTGGCTGGAGATAATCGGGCTTGTGATATTTCTGGTCAACCTGGCCTTCTTCGTGGTCATCGGTACATTGATGTGTGCACGATTTTATCTATATCCATACACCTTCAAGGCATCGTTCCTGCATCCGACAGAGTCTCTATTTATCCCTTCTGTGATTGTGTCGTTCGGAACAATTCTTATCAATGTCGCACAGTACGGTCCCAGTCATGCAGGTGAATGGCTGGCCCATGCAACAGTGGTTTTGTTCTGGTTTGATGCAGCATTAGCTGTCATCTTATCCGCAGGCATTTATCTCATTCTGTGTGTACGCCCATGGCCCAATTGTGCTCTTACCCGGGGAGTAGCCAGATGACTGATATCATGTTTGTAGGTGGTCGACACAGACATTTACAATTGCTAAGATGACGCCTATATGGATATTCCCAGCATACCCAATGCTGATCATTGGACCGCATGCAGGAATTCTGAGTGCCAGCGTACCTCAAAATCACGCTCTTCGAATCATTATCGGTGGCTGGACTATCCAGGGAATTGGCTTCCTGGTCTCCCTCATGGTATATTCTGCATTTATATACCGATTGATGACGCAGAAGCTACCAAATGAATCCCTCAGGCCAGGGATGTTTGTATCTGTCGGACCCAGCGCGTTTACAGTGGCAGGGATCCTAAGCATGGCCGATAATGCTGCGAGATCACTGCCTGCCGACTTCATGGGTGACGGAGAACTAACAGCAAAGATAATCTATGTGGTTTCGAACTTTGCAGCTCTGTGGCTATGGGGGTAAGTCAGACAGTGCCCCAGATGTAGATATATATGCTAACAAAAAAAAAAATGGTTCTAGGCTGGCGGTTTTCTTCTTCTTTATAGCAGTCTTTGCGCACTGGACACCAGCTCGTCGTGGACGGATGACTTTTTCGATGACCTGGTTCTCCTTTGTGTTCCCCAACACCGCATTGACAACGGCCACGTTTGCCGTAGGAAAGGCGTTTAACAGCAAGGGCATCGAGGTAGTTGGCTATGCCCTTACCGTCCTGCTCTTCATCACCTACTTCTTCGTATTCTTCACGATGGTAAGGGCGATCCGGACTCGCCAGATACTGTGGCCGCAGAAGGGAGAGGACAAGGACGAGGGAGGATTCAAGATCAAAGAACACAAACCAGACGCTAATGGCGTCCTACCAACACACTCGTAACCATAGCTAATCTGAGCGTTCTATGTAGCAAGCATGTATCTCTATCTCAAGTTTATGCTGTATTTTGTTGTCTCCCTTATTAGACCAGTCGTACTGGGCCCCCCCCCTTCCCCCACATCAGGCACTGCTGCCGCCCACCTGTTATCCAGCACGGCAAGGTGGCCGAGTGGTCTAAGGCGTCCGACTCAAGTTTCAAACTTAGTTTGTGATCTAACACGAGCTTGCATTCGAATGTGGTTTACACGCGTGGGTTCGAATCCCACCCTTGTCATTTTTTTTTTGCGTTTTCATTTTTATTGTCGGAAGCATACTTAAATGATTATTGATTTATTTTAATTTTTTAATTCAATCGTATATATTAGATACTCTACTAGTCTGATCATATCATGTCATACATGCATATTCGTCCTTGTCGCCGTTATGTGTCAGGGATATATATGGTTACGAGATTAGATACTCCATACGTGAAGGTTTATGGCAGATGAACGTCGCTGTAACCTCCTCCACAGTACAGTTAACTACAGTTAACTTTACTATCTAGGAGAATTAGAGATGCCCTTCGCTTTCTTGGAGTACCTTGTGAGTCCGGTGTTCAAACTGATATACGCGCAGTGGATAGCTGATACGGTATGCTTTAGATTTGATAGCGACACTAGCACATGAAGAGGATACCGTGATAAGGATGGATCTCAGGAGTCCTCAGGAGTAACCAAGACAAATATCACACCTCTCGCTATCACAGACCGGCTCTTAAGGAATGGAGTGGTTATACTGCATGAAAATCACCAGTTGGCCGTTCCCCACGGTTCACTGAGTCAGAAATGGACTTGGCTGTTTGGATTTCATGTCTAGACCAGCAGAAACAGTTCCCACAACTGAAGTTCTCTAGGATTCTAGCTGATCTATGGAGCAGAGACGGCTATCTAGTTATCGGTGGAAGCCGGATCATCTGCCCACGAGCCGGACGAGAGGGATTGACACAACATCCTAGTTGCAAACATCGTACTGGTCGAGTTAGGCAAAAGGTGCTTTTGACAACAATGTCAAACCACCAAGATGTCTCCGAGTATTCCTCTGCGAAGCGATAGCATTTTAGCCGAGACATTCCGTATCCCCGTGAATGCCATGTCGACCGACCATCGGGATGAAGGAAAGCCCTAAGTATGTATGTATGCTCTTTGCGGTCAAGCTGCTCGGACTGATGATCTCTTAGCATCCCGTATTTTTAGATGCAAAAGAAATTTGGCGTCATTCTTCACTTTATCCGCCCTTCTAGAAGGCATTGGTATGACGGAATTCCATTGTGCTTACCAAAGGCCGTCTGCAGGTCCCTGGCCCCAGTTTTCATATCCTTCTCTTCACATTGACTTCCCCACAATCTCTCCCTCCACACCAGGACCGCTTCGGAGGCCAAGTCCGAAATAAAGCAGCTGAAAATATTAATCCTGACAACAAAGCAAGTAATGGGGATGAAGAAGAGAATGAAAGGCTCTGTTACGAGAATTCCGCCCCCGCATTTCTCCGTGCCATGGATGCAATCTGCGCGCCGCGTTCCGTAGCGCCGCCAACAACGTGGCATTCATTAATCGAAGAGCGTCAAAAATCAGGAAGCATGTTGGCTCTGGCGACCGACTTCCGTCAAGCAGGTCCCCAATGTCCATGATCTCGTTCTTCTGAGCTACATCAAAGGGGATTCTGGTGATCAATTGGTCCTTGTTGTCTCTGCTGGCAAGAAGCGCGAATGCCCGGCTAATTGAGAACGAGAGATCGTCATTGAGAAAACCAAGTCAAACGCAGCCAAGCAAAATTGCTTCAGATACTGACAACAAGACACCAACCCCCAAGGTGGCTGATCGACACATTCTGTGGGGAAGAAGACAGCAGTTCTTCCTCTTCTTATCCTTCTGCCTCTTCTTAAAATGCAAGCATTCGGCGATGAAGAGGCCATGGTCTGTCGGCCGATCCAGTACTTCCAAGACAGACTCTTTTTCTATAATGCTAGCATAGATCTTCTCATATGACACAGTCACAAGGGTTCTTTTCTAAAGGTACCTATATGCTGTCGCAGAATGCCTTCCTGGGTGTGTAGTGGAGTAGATGGCCAAGCACAGCAGGAGTAGCAGCAACAGTCATGGTTCTTCAGCTGTGTGAGATGAGAAAGTTGATGGATCACGAAGATAAGGAGACAGATGATAGCATAACCATCCATCTGTTCCATAGGCATAGGGTAACATTTCACGATATCCATAGAACAGATCTACACGCCACTGTGTGCAAAGATCGAGCTCTCCAATCTCACAGAGCACAAGAAGAACATGCATGCCACATGCTTTCCAGAACGGATATCTAAATTTATCGCCTGCTAGTTAACTATCAACACGAAACCAAAGGATTCTAGTTCGAGGAATGAGGCCTGAGCTGCTGTTAGTGTCGCTCTAGCTGCTTCTGCTCCGTGTTGACTTGCATCCTCCGCACGCCGGAAGAAAGACGGAAGATAGGAAGATACCTAAATATCCATCCCGTCGTGAATAGGCCTGTGGAACCGCCAAGGCAAGGCCGCCCTTGCGATCTACAGACAAGCCTTCGCCGTGGCGGCTCACTGGGCCCTGTCATCTGTCTTCCAAGGACTCCATCCTCCATGCATTGCTGGGGCCTGCAAAGATCCATGCACTTGGTCACACCTGCTCGCAGTGTCTCCCAGCCCCTTTATACTGTCCCTTACCCTGATAATTTGCTCTATGTGCTTTTCTTATGGCATCATTATGTCACCAAAACCGACACTAACCAATCACGTGTCTTAGTTTCGCTCTCTCCCGTATTACATAATAACCTTACTTTAACGCAAACGAAGCAAAAAAGGCAAAAGAGGTCAAGCATGCAGAAGAAGGGACAAGATATAAATACGAACAAGGCGACAAGAATACGACAACGACGGAGGGTCGCGTCAGCCAAGCCGGTCGCTACCCTCACCTCCAAGGTATGAGGGCTGTGGCTCAACTCCCGCTGGCATAGAGGCATGGGGATAACAAGTTGGTGTTGTAGTCGACTTGCATGAAAAAAGTGTTAGCAATATCAAATCTCCCTGCAAAATTGCCGGCCACGGGTGTCTCAAGGCTCAGACGAGGCAGAAGAAGGCTCAGAAGGTCACCGTGCTAAATCTGTGTTACGGGCGACGACCAAGACACGAGGAAGCAGCTGGCGAGTTGGGTCAGCGGTGGGCTCAAACTCACTTGTGGCGGGATAAACATGTCTTAACGGTGCGAAAGGAAATTGGTCAACTCACTAACTCACTCCCATGGTAACCTAGGGGGGCAGCGGGTCCACTTTGAGTTTCTGACTGACCTGACGGCCTTGTCCGACACACACGGTCCTGCGCCATAACCAACTGCTTTCTCGTGTGCCTGCTTTAATTCGACCAGATTGGACCAGCTACTGTGTACGTGGCTAGGCATTTTTATATACTTGGAGAGCAAGAGTTCCTTGTTTCCAAGAGTACGGAGTACGGGGTACCTGAACCAGACGTGCCGTTGCATAGTGGCCAAGGAAATTGCTCGTCGAATCGCCAGAGATTAGAACAACGCCTATTAAATTAGGAGGTTCTAAAATAGACGACTAACTCCATGCCCCTCTTCAAATCCGACCTTATACAAGGGTATGGGCGCGCCAGACTGGTGGCTGCCCCAAAGCAAGGTTCGACTCTGCAAAGCTTCTTTCCCATAGAGGCTATGGCCGCGTATGATGCCATGGACTAGAGTAACACCTGGCGTTATGGCTGAGTTTGCCGCCTATGAAGAAGAAATGAAGGAAATCATATGTTCACTCATCTCTAGTGTTTTGTTTTATTTGTTGTCCTCTCCTTGAGCGTCTCTGGACGAATCAGAGGAATTATATTGGGTTCGCCAGAAGCTGTGGTTTTGTCTAGCGGAAGATCGACATACCGCTATGATATCTTACTGGCCTCACGCCTTGCAAAATATGTATATCATGTCTGTTCTCTCGAATGTTTCAGTACATTGCCTGACCCATCGGTTGAACGTGCCTTCGGATGCCGAGGTTGGTTGGAACGAAGAGTTTGGGTTTCCTGCCCCTGGATAGGCTTCAAGGGTTCCCATGCTTGAATCGTCTTTTTCGCGGGGTTTCATGCCATGTCTGGGATTTCGCAATGAAAATCTCCGCATGACCCCTTGTCCGCCAATTCTCTGTGATAATGCTACTGTCCTTGATTTAACCGTATTTTCATGGTTATCAGAATGCGGGGACCAATCCACACCCACCGTTCCTCTCTTGAAGAAACGGATCTGCGCTCTCAGGGCCTCCGAAATTCCAAAGCCTCATTCGCGCCCACTATCGTCTCATCTCTTCCCCTTTACGGATGTCCTCCGGTGCTTCAACTTTGTATCTATACATGCTCTCCCGACCCACCAGCATAGCAGCGAGCAATGGGGAGTCCGAAACCAGCCGGCCTCATCCTCCCCATTTTAGTGATCTTCGCTGAATGTTACATTCTGGCTTCAATATAAGAATTACCAGATTACTTATACCTTCGGCTGCATATCCTCTTAATTCTCTCACTGCTTCCTGATACGACGAGATGAATGCCGATCAAAAGCACAGCCTAACCAGCTAGCCCGGGACAACCATAATCATGCCCTTCGAGAAGCGCCTTGCCTAGACACTTCAATGCCAGGGATGTCGAAGGCCGGCGAATTGGTACCCAATTTTCATGCGGATGGGCAAGTAAAAGGACGACAGCCAAGGGATTCCGCTAACGGAGCTCTCATCACTCCCGTAAATGGGTGCCTGTTGGTTGACACGACTATAAGCTATACCCCGATCCCAAAATCTATATCAAGGCCTTCCTCTCCCGCCAGAATTCTGGTTTTTTTCTCTCCTTCCTCTCTCCAAGCAATCAATCGCCTTCATTCTTCCCTCTTCACCAGTCAAAAGTACAAAGGTTGCAATTCAATATGGGTTTCATCACCAAGGCCATCCCTCTCGCCCTGGCGGCGGCATCTGTCATCAACGGCGCTGAGATCTTGGAGACTCGCGCTGGTGTCCAGACCCTCGCTGACAAGTACATTGTTGTCATGAACGATGGCATCAGCGACAAGGACTTCGACTCCCACCGCTCCTGGGTTAACCGCAACCACCGCCGCCGTTTGATTCGCCGTGGCGCCAAAGCTATGGGCGGCATGAAGCACACCTACAACTTCCCAACTGGCCTCAAGGGATACTCTGGTCACTTCGATGAGCAGATGATCAACGAGATCTCCAAGCGCGCTGATGTACGCATCAATTATGTCTCCCTAAATGAACGCCATCACTCACAGAGTTTCTAGGTCAAATACATCGAACGTGATGCCCGTGTCCAAATCAACGCTATTGAACAACAGGACAATGTTCCATCCTGGGGTCTTGCCCGTGTCGGCTCCAAGGAGCCCGGTGGCACCACCTACTATTACGACAGCACTGCTGGCGAGGGCAGCACTGCCTACGTTATTGACACCGGTACCGATATCCAGCACGAGGAATTTGAGGGCCGTGCCACCTGGGGTGCGAACTTCGTTGATGACATGGACATGGACTGCAACGGCCATGGTACTCACGTCTCTGGAACCATTGGTGGTAAGACCTTTGGTGTTGCTAAGAAGAGTAACGTCGTTGCCGTGAAGGTCCTCGACTGCAACGGCTCTGGTTCCAACTCTGGTGTCATCATGGGTATGGAATGGGCTACCAAGGACGCCCAGCAGAAGGGTGCCGACAAGGCCGTCGCCAACATGTCTCTTGGTGGTGCCTTCTCCCAGGCTTCCAACGACGCCGCTGCAGCAATTGCTAAGGGTGGTGTCTTCTTGGCCGTTGCCGCCGGTAACGACAACGTAAGTGCCTTCCGTCTCAGAAACATATATACTGCGTCCATTGTGCTAATCATGATATCTGTAGGTCGATGCCGCTGATTCCTCCCCAGCTTCCGAGCCCTCCATCTGTACCATTGCTGCCTCCACCGAGCAGGACAGCAAGGCCGACTTCTCCAACTTCGGTCAAGTTGGTATGTGTATTCCATTTATTCACCTCTAGAGGCGACAAAAGGAAGCAGTGCTAATATAAATTCCAGTTGATGTCTATGCTCCCGGTGATTCCATCACCTCCGCCAAGCCAGGTGGTGGATCTCAGGTCCTCTCAGGTACCTCCATGGCCACCCCACACGTCGCCGGTCTCGGTGCCTACCTCATTGGCCTCGGCAAGGGTGGCGGCCCCGGCCTCTGCGACACCATCAAGCAGATGGCCATCGATGTCATCCAGAACCCCGGCGCCAGCACCACCAGCAAGCTCATCAACAACGGATCCGGCATGTAAGCGGGTAACCTTCCTTGGAAGTTTGCTTTTGACTGGAGAGTCCATGAGTAAACCACTTCCCCTCATAGTAGCTTTCTTTCTTTCCCCTTGAACATATATGAAGAGCAGTGGTCGAAGCCCCTCGACTTGTAAATAGCTTTACTCTTTTGACGGCTGTGCCTCGTTTCTTTCCTTGATCAGGTAGCTTCGTCCATCTTTGTACATATTAATGGATTAACATGAAGTTCCTTTTTAAATACTCCCTTTTCCTGAACTGGTCTTATCTTAGTCGCTGCTCATAGCTTGAGGTTCATAATAACTTAGCTTGATATTGGCATCTCGACTGGGCGGAGGGTCTTTCGGGCTTGTGCATGCTCGCTTAACGCCAGAACCAAAGTTACCTCGTGGCTTAAGCGGCGCTTGTTCAGGCTTTGAGCTTAATTTTACCTGCAAGAACAGCTTAAAGCGGCAAGGCTAGTCTTCGCTTGATAAACGCCAACTCTCCAAAAGCAGCCACACAGTCTAACTTACCTTTCCGTGGATATCAAATTTTGGAACAACAACATAAAATCTCATTGATAACAGCCTGTCTCATATGCTGTGAATTAACAGCTAGACACCCGGGGACAGTTTCTCTCATTTTATGGTCGTCTTCTATGCACAAACTTGATAGGACAGATCACTTGGCAGTATTATACCCATGGGAATGCAATGTCCTTTCAGCTGCTATTAATAGCCCCGGCTCCACTTAGCCCAAAACGTACTCCGGGACCATGCAGCCGCTTGCCCGTGCAAGTTTACAGGTACGAAATATGGCTAAATAAGGACTCCGGGCGATGAGTCTATAAGTCAGTATTTTGACTTCCACCATGGAGATTACTATATAACAACACCGGTGTACTCCTTCATATCGGAACATGCAGAGTTGCTCCTTCATTATAACTTCTTGATACCAGAGCACCGGCTATCCACAATGAATCTGACCCATATACTGGAGCGTACCTGCTCCGAAAGTGATTGCAGGTTTCATGCAGCTGTTTTTACGGCTGCTAATAAAGGTAGGACAGAAAACTCCTGGATAGTCAAGATGGTTACTAAGGGGTTCTAGACCAAGTACTACATTCTATTCCCTATGGCACTCAAAACGTCGATGGGTCTGGGGATGCTGTGACAGACAGATCAATGTTCTGGTGCGCATCTATGACTAAGATCGTCACGGCTGTTGCTGTTATGGTTGCCATTGAAAAAGGGCTAGTAGGCTTGGATGATGATGTCGGGGCCATCTTACCGGAGCTGGCTGAGCCCGAGATAATTGTCGGGTTTGAAGATGGTAATAACGGTATGTTTCTTCATCTCCACGGGCGCATATACCAGACTGACCGTGTTACTAGGGAAACCCATTCTTCGTAAAGCAAAGGAAACGGTCACCTTGCGACGACTGTTAACTCACTCTAGTGGGTTCGTCTATCTGGCTGTCAATTCATCAGTCAAGAGATGGGCAGAGTATCACAATCACACAGCTACCACTGATGTAACATCCAGGGTAAGTCTAATGTTATACGTCACCATTAGAAGATACACTGTGCATTAGAAGAAGAGAACCTAAACTACTTTAGGAAGCGTACCGCCTGCCTTTGGCTTTTGAGCCGGGAAAATCCTGGGGCTATGGTCCCGGAGTTGACTGGGCTGGCTGTGTAGTCGAAAAAATTTCAAATCAGAAGCTTGGGGATTTCATGCAAGAGAATATCTTTCAAAAACTCGGTATCACGGCAACCACGTTCCATCCTGAAAATCACCCTGAGTTTAGCGCGAGGCGTGTTGAACTTTGTCAGAGAGCACCGGATGGGAGCCTATCCATGATTCCGATTCCATACACAATCCCAGCGAAGGATGATTTGGGCGGTATTGGCTTATACTCGACGCCCAAGGAATTTACTAGGTTCTTGCAAATGATACTTCGCAATGGTGAGAACGTGTTGCGACCCGAAAGCGTAAACACAATCCTTTCTCCGCAGCTCGAGTGTAATAAAGAAATCAACACAATTCGAGATCGTGGCTCAAAGATCATGAGTCGCCTTGTTAACCCGGGAAAGGTAATTGATATGGGTCTGTCAGCAAGTATCAACCTGGATCGAGTCCCGAGTGCTCGTTATCCAGGATCTATTTCCTGGGCTGGGGCTGCAAACGCCTTCTGGGTAAGTGATTTCCGTTTTCTCTCGACATTTAGCTGCTATGTTCAAATGTGTGACCTCCTAATTCTTTCGATATTTAGTGGTTGGATATGAAAGCTGGTATCTGCGGTACCCTCTTTATGCATTCATTTCCTCCTTTCGATACTGCCGCATTGGACTTACTGGATGAACTTGAAGCTGCAGTATACAAAATTGAGGGCCTCTAGCAAAGGCGTAACAAGAAAGCAATTTTCATTTAATTTTGTTGTCGATGTTTAATTAACTAGTTAGGTTACCAAATAGCTAATACCATTACTAGTTTACTAGTTAGCCTCGGAAAGTTTAACTATTTGTTATGACTTCACAGCTTCCAAGGACCACGCCAACTACAACTACACATGTTCTTTTTCACTTTTAGCATAGGAGAGTTGCTGTACAAAATACACATTTATACCATCTGAGAGCACGATTGACAGTAATATACCACTATGCCCTCACCAGACAACCGTAAATCGGTCCTCATAACTGGGCGAGTACCTAAATCCCAGTCCGGTGATAGCAGAAGAGTTAACATGTCTCATTTAGCTGTTCGCCAGGAGGTATTGGCCATTCCCTCGCTCTTGAATTCCAACGTAATGGTTTGCGAGTGTTTGCAACTGCCAGGAATAAAGAGGCACTCGCGGATCTCGAAGAGAAGGGAGTTGAGGCCTTAGACCTAGTGGTGGACAATGAGAAAAGCGTACTATCATGCTTTGATGAAGTCAAGTCTAGGCTAGGCGAAGGGAAAGGGTTAGATATTCTAGTCAACAATGCGTAAGTAATTATTATTTAGAAAAAGTGCTATGCTTTGAGCCTTTTGCTAATGACCGTATCCAGTGGTCGGAGTACGTCTGCCGTTATCTTCTCTACTCCATGCTTCCTGAGCTAACCATATCAATTTCAAAGACTATACGGTCCCAGCACTTGATGTTAACATGGATGAAGTACGTCAGACGTTCGAAACCAACATCATAGGAGTGATTCATATGTGCAAGGTGTTCACGCCACTCATAATTGAAGCCAAAGGAACCATTGTACAGATTGGATCTGTCGCTGGGGTAAGATATGTTTTCCAAGGAGTTGAAAATACCGTCTAATAACTTGACAGATAATACCCTATGTTTTCGGTTCTGTGTACAATGCAACGAAAGGTGCATTGCATTCATACAGTGACACACTCAGAGTGGAACTGGAGCCGTTTGGGTACGTACAGCGGAGTACAATCTGCATATATACAGACAATATCTAATATTAACTGAGTTTAATAGTGTCAAAGTCGTCACTATCATAACTGGCGGCGTTCAGTCTCGGATTGCACGTACACCACGTCATTTGGTCCCAAACTCTCTCTATCATCCTATTCGGTCCGAATATGAACGAAGAGTTGTGCATAGCCAGGATGGCGCCACGCCTAACGAGGCATATGCTCGTCGCGTAGTCACCCAGGTGCTTTATGGGCCGGCTCCATGGCGTTGGCTATGGCCGTGGGGTGTAAGCCCAAGAAAATGGGTTTGGGCTGGCAGCAAAGTTACTCCGATTTATATGCTTTCTGGCGCGTTCTTTTGGTTTGGAATATTCAACTTTGTCCTCGGGCGTATGTTCAACCTGAGAAAGTTGAAATACTAGTCGTAATATCCAACTGAGGACGTCGGGTTGTCGAGTAGCAGGTACGGGAAGGTTGTTGATGGAGGAAGTGGTGGAATTTTGACATGTATCGACGGTTAAGCTCTCCATCTAGATTTTTGAAGCCTCAGGGTCATCATCCACAATCAGTATTTTCTCCTCTTACATATCCTTATATATAACTAGTTACAGATTTCCAAAGAAAAAAAAAAAAGAGTCCTTCTATAGATTAACATGTGGCGTATACACAGAACCCACATTTTACGTGCTAAAATAAAAATAGTGACACAAGACGGAAAAGGAGGGAAGCAAAAAGAAAGGCATATGGACCAATAACTTCAAACAGGGGGCGGTGGGTTCACCTAATGCTCTTTTTCTGCAACAGGAGGAGTAAAAACGGTTAGTATGGCATGTTAGGGATCTGAGAAAGGAGCATACGCCTAGATTGACTCGTTGGGCCTTCCCTCACTTCCGGCGAGAAGGGCTCAGACACACAAGAAGGAAGGGGAAGGATGCAAAAGGTCGCAAATTGGTGGTCCGTGATTTAAATACCAAGGGTGAATTCAACGCCGACATCAATGTCTCGGGCCATCTTGACGACCTTGGAGAACTGGACGGACTTCTCGGCGGCAACCTGGAGATCCTCAATGGAGAAGATCTTGAGGCCAGATTCGCTGATCTATAGTATAGAGTTAGAGAAAGTGGTCACTTTATTTCAATTGAGGTGTAGGATAGACATACCAAAGCATGGGCCTTCTCCATGTTAGTACCCTGCAGTCTGGCGACGATGGGGGTACGGAGGTTCATCTCTTGGACGACATTGATCAAACCCTGAGCGATGGCATCACATCTCACGATACCTCCGAAGATGTTGACGAAGATGGCAGTGACCTTGGGGTCGCTGGTGATGAGCTCGAAGGCAGATCGGATAGCAGCAGGGGTGGCACCACCGCCGACGTCAAGGAAGTTGGCAGGGCTTCCACCGTTGAGCTTGATGATGTCCATAGTGGCCATGGCGAGACCAGCACCGTTGACTTTATAGCCGAAGAGTTAGTACTTCGTTTATGAGAGGTAGGGGGTATTGAAGATGGGCTTACCCAAGCAGCCGATGTCTCCGTCCAACTTGATGAAGTTGAGACCAGATCTATAAGTAAAAGTTAGAGCGGCATATAAGTTATGGAGGGTTGAAAGGAAGAGCATACTCGGCAGCCTTGACCTCATCGGCATCCTCTTGGGTGGTATCTCTCCAGGAAAAGACCTCCTTCTGTCTGAAGTCGGCGTTGTCGTCGAAACCAAGCTTGGCATCCATAGCAAGAACCTGGTGGTCGGAGGTCTCTGAGAGAGGGTTAATTTCGATCTGAGTGGCATCCTTCTCCATGAAGACCTTGTAGAGCTTCTTGATGGTCTCAACGGCCTCTGGAACGCACTGTTCAGAGAAACCAAGACCAGTGGCAATGTTTCGGCGATTTCATCGGTGACACCAGTGTGGATGTCAATTGGGGTGGTGGTGATGGCATCGGGGGGTGTCCTTAGCAACAGCCTCAATATCCATTCCACCCTGGGAGGAGGAGACATACGGGAGCCTGAGTTTGACGGTCCATCAGGATGGCAAGATAGAACTCTCTGCGGGCGAACTTGCGCTCGCAGATGTACACGGCGTTGCAGAGACGACCCTGAGCACCTGTCTGCTTGGTTATCAGCTTGTGGCCGATCATCTGGTCGGCAAACATGCGGGCCTCAGTTGGACTGGAGAAGAGGTTAGTTTGGCTCTGTGACGCCGAGAAGGGCCAGCATTCACAGGATTGGACTCGAATACGTACGAGTAGATAACTCTGACACCTCCCTTCAAGCCATTGTCGAAGGTACCCTTTCCACGGCCACCAGCTAGGACCTGGGCCTTGATAACCATATCCTCACCACCTACATCATATCCTTAGTCGTCTTTTCCCCCAATTTAGTCAAGATTTAGGTGAGACGGAGGTAAAATATACCGATGTTCTTTGCGATGGCCTCAGCCTCTTCGCCGCTGCGGGCAACTTCACCCTTTGGAACACCGACGCCATACTATATAGCAATCACAGGCGCGTTAGACAGAAGCTATGGATTGCTGATTGACAATAGGAGCTACAGCTGGCCAATACTGACAGACTTGAGGAGGTTGGCGGAGAGGTATTCGTGTATGGAGAGGTTCCTTCGCTGCGACTGAGCGAATCTGGTGCGAAGAGGTGACTCCTACAGGCATCACAGGTCCGACATGTTAGCATCCCATGGACATCCAGACGTGAAGAGAGGCCTGCTGAGATACAATGGCTGTGGCTCGATGCAGGCGGGAACGGGCAACTCACGACGGCGGATCTGAAAGCCGCAGCAATTGGCTTGCTACGGGCGAGCTTAAACATCTTGAAGAATCGGCACCGGGCGTCCAAACGAAGTGGATTATAGTACAGCGAGACAGGCGATGCTGCGAGGGAAGGGAGAGAGCTGGAGGAAGAAGTCGACGATGGTGTCCAGACAGTCGGAGGAGACGAAGGAAAGTCGAAGTTGCAGTCGAAAAGAAGAAACAAGCAAAAAAATCGGAAACGTGGTAGAGAGGTCGTAATACGGATACAAATACAGCCCGATCTGCTCCGGGTACCGCAAAAAAGAGCGTGAGTGGCACTGAAATATCAATACGATAATTACGAGCCTAATAAATGCTTGTTCTGCTTTCTTCAACTTTGCAGATTTCATTTTGATATCAAAGAAATTCGGGACTACCAGAAGCTGAACGGGCGGCGGCAGAAGAAAGACGAAGAAGAAAGATGCCGGCTATGAGCTCCGAGGCGGATGTGATATTTAACAGAGCTAACGTTGCTCTTGCGAGAAGCCAGAGACTGATCGCATCCTGGCTGCCTCCTAAAACGGCCGATGAAACAGCCAATGCAAAGTCTGAAGAAGAGCTACAGAAGGAGGAAGATGAGATATTCACAGCAGTCCCAGAGAAGTGAGTAGCAGCCTGTATGAATGTTTTTGTATTTTTGTGTCTTTTATTGTGTAATATGTAGAAGGTCTCTAAACTAATTGTGTCTTCGTGTGTTTTGGTAGACTGGGCCTGGGAGCTCCTATTCCGCAGAAAGAAGCTGACGGCAGCATCAAACGAACTGAACTCAGCTCTAATGACAAGCTTCGGAAGCAGCTTTTAGGCAAAAACTTTCAAAAGGCCGAAGCATCAAGGTTGAAAAACGCTAGCACCCGTACCAAACAGACCGGTCCGACTCCCAGTCAAAAAAACGAGTTAGTCGAGGAGAGTGAGGAGGAAGACGGCAGGTCAGCATTGGGTAAAGGCAAGAAAGGGAAAAATTCTAGTGACCAGTCGCCAGCTGCTTCAGGGGCAGATCCTGGTGGGAAAAAGAGAGCCAGTAGTTATTTGGATGAGGTTCTGTCACGGAGAAAATCGAAGAAAGGGAGAATATGACCCATCATTCCATCATGCTGCATCGTCCTTTGGTTGTCCGGATTGGAATTTCCGCAATAAATCCTCACAGGTAGTAAGCCCACGGCTCTTTTGGCTCCTCTGACCGAAACTGGAGCCCTGTGGTGTTGATGCCGAGCTAGCTTGTGTCCTCCCTTCCCCGTTTGGCTGAGGTGCGGTTTCTGGCTGTGGTCGCGGCTGTGATTGCTTCTCCTGTTGCTGAGGCTGCTTTTCAACAAGTCCTTTGGCAAGCTGGGCTGTCGTGCCGTTCTGCGATGCTGATGACTCTCCAGAAACGGGTTGTGGTTTCGGGCCAGATGGCTTATTTTGCTGTCTGAAAGGCTCCAGCAGGCTTTCCACATCAACTTTTTTCTTCCGTATCACAGATCGTTGCATCTGGTTCACATCTTGCAGAAAATCGATATTGGCACACTCTCCCTCCGTCTCGCCCACGACGTTCAAGGTCACCCATAGAAGTCTCATTCCGCTTCCCTTGGAGAATTTCTCGTATACAACGGAAGCCAGCTCTGCCGGGATCTTTCGCCCTATCTGATCGAATAGTTCGAGCATTTGCTTCATGACCAACTTCGTCCAGCTTTCTCCTCCCATCTTCTGGCCAATAGAGTACAAATCAATCAAGTTGCTGTACTTCGCAGTCGTGCCCACGGCCACTCCGGGCCGCATGTGGGCGCCATACAGCCATTCTACCAAGTCTGTGAATGCCTTGGAGTCTAGATCCGGACGCTTGACCGGGCCCGTAGATTTTCCCAAGTCGAAGAAGCCTGAGAGCCCAGTAGATTCCAGTAAAAACGAGTGAACCTGGAACTCCTCCTCGTCTGGCCCGATGATGAACCGGACTGTAGTCTTGAATGGGTTCCTATCCATCTTGTTAGCGTGTTCTTGCATTTTTTTCATGCTACTGAGGTCTAGGAAAGATAAAAATATGTAAACAAAGGACTATTAAAGAAAGCAAATACAAACAATGATCTGACGGGCAAAGCCGCGGTTTCGCCCACACGCTCTACAGGCTCAGCAGGCTCGACTGTTTTTTGCCTCTTCTCTGGTATCACTTCCTGCCTCGCTGCTGAAGCAGACGCAACTCTCTTCTTGCCTCCTCTCTCTGGTGTCTGGGACGTGTTTGAGTTCTTCCGCGTCGCCATCTGGCGCTGGCGTTTGGTCGATCTCGACGTTTCACTGAAGAATAAACTATCATTCGAACTCCCAGCTGAATCTGAGGTATATCCTCCGCCTACATTGTCCAATTGTCCTATGGCATTCGCCTTCCCCAGCTTGCTGGGCGTAGAGAGCGAGGGTGAGTCTTTCATCCCTGAACGCCCAAAATTAACCTCGCCAACGCCAAGAGTTCTGGGTTATAGCTAGCAATGTATAGCCAATGCAGGCCGATTTGGTAGCTGAGTAGATGGATTGAAGAAACGTAAGAGTACTTGGATCGAGGTTGTAGAAATATGGAGGATGAGCCTTGTTTATCTATTGAAGAAGATATTTATACTCAGGAAGTCTGCTGGTGGTTAAGTGGGAAGGTCCCTTCTCGGCATCCTACAGTAAGAGATAGCATAGAGACATTAAGACATAGCTAGAAAGACACCATAGCTATTGCTGGCATGCCTGGAAGGAACTGGATATTAAAGAAGTCTCTGGCTAAAAGCTCTCATTTTGCACATTTAAGTAAGGATAAAACAGCTACAACTACCTCCCTATGCCATGGTATATGCATGCCTCTGCACAAACGCTGTGTCTATCCAAAAGAAAAACGCCTCCCTCACACCATTCCACCCCTTCCCAAAGAGAAAGAAAGACATATAAAAGCCTAGACTAGGAGCTGTAAATCCCATTCCCAATGGCTTTACTGTACAGCAAACAGAAACGGGACCGTCCGACCTAACACCCTGTGATCGTGAAGAGCCTGAGGCAGAAGGGGATCTGAATGAATGGCGAAGGGTGGTTGGAAAGATAAAAGAAGAATAGAGGGTGGTAAACTGAGAGAAGAGAGTAAACGAGATGGATATATGTATATATCGTGTACGCCGGAAAGAAACAGCCTGGTTGATGGAGACAGGTAGCTAGTGGTATATAAGAAGGGAGAGGACGCCGTCTGTCATCGATGCATGGCAAATTGAAAAAGGGAAAGAAGTCGGAAATATACAGAATAAAACAACACAATAACAGTAAGCTGGTTATGGCGATGGCTGTAAAGCAAATGGGTATTTTTTTCACTTTTAGAAAAAGAAATGCTTGAAGGGATCCAAGATGGCTTCTGATATGGTATAATATAGATGGAAGAGAACAAACCAAAACGAAAAACTAAGAATGAGAGAAAAAAAACGAAAGAGGATTGATATATATGGTGGAAGGAAAAGAAAGATGGCTCATCACTGGAGCCTTTTTCGTTTCCGGTCTTCTCCTAGTGGCCCATCGGGGTCGTCTGCCCGCTCAGCTGCGATAGATGGGTTCAGCAGTGAATGTACGTTGCTCGCCATGCTTGATCGACGGGTGGCAGGCATTGACTCTACCGGACGCGGGAACTTGGGCCCTCCTATAGCCCAGCTATTGTCCGGCTGGGATGGGTCGAGGAAAGGGGGCGTAACGTGTCTGGATTGTTCTTGCTGCCGTCGCGGTCCACCAAGCTCATACCGCGCCAATGCATCTCGGACGTGCTGGTCAGAGGAATTGTGGTTTCGACCTGGTGAAGAAGGCCATTGCATGGATGGGTTGGGGCCATACTGTGAGTTGGGTGAGGGACCGGCTGATGGCGGCCAACCGTGCTGTCTGATATCTGCTGATGTGTGGCGGCGGGCAAGGTTGGGTCCTGGAGGAGACGAGACTGATGACAGAGGATGGAGGTTGGATTGGTGCGGGATCTGGGGCTTGCTGTAGATCGGAGTTGGGTTTCCGCCGAGAGAGCCTTGTCGGTGCGGTGAGATGGTGATATGGGGTGGTAAGGGATGGCGGATACCGGACGGCCGTCTCCCATCATCCTGGCATACCTGGCGCGGGGAGAGTGGGGGAGGGCCGGGGTCCATGGACATGGAGAAGTAGGGCTGTCGACCTGCCAGCATGGCTTCCTGGGGGTTCTCTAAATTTCGGATATAATCCAGCTGCCGGGTGATTTCACGTTGCATGTTTGCAGCTAGGATTAAACATTAGTTATGCCTCTATATATTGTTGGTACCTGGAATGCAAAACTCACCCTCTTTATGTATAGAATTTTCGGTATCAGGAACCATGGAGACTATAAAG